CTGAGCCTGATCACTTGGTTGTCCTGCATGTTCCGGTGTGATGGCACTCAGGATGATTTGTTCCATCACCTTCCCTGGTACCGAGGTCAGACTGACAGGTCTGTAGTTCCCTGGGTCTTCCTTCCGGCCCTTCTTGTAGATGAAAAAAAGCCCCCATCAAACTGCAGGCACTTACCTAAGATACCCAAAGTGAGGATGATTTACATCCTTATCAGAGTAAATGAGTTTTTGGAGATTTCTCCATTGATTACAAAGGGAGCTTGGAACACCTAACTTAATAACATGGTTGTATTGCTTAGGTATATAAAGCTAAGTGGGTTGAAAATAGCTAATCTCTCTGGCTGACTCAACAGTGACAAGTTCAGAAGAGGTACACATAAAACTTGATAAAGATGACTGTTCCGATGATTAGTGAAGCACATGCAACTGGTTCAGAGAGACCTTTCTGTCACAAAAAAAGATCTGGGTAATAACAAGGTACCATATTTTCCTACAGTTTAATGTGTTTAAATAGAAATAAAACAGATAAGAAAGAACACCAAAACAAAAAAAACCCACAAAAACGGATGATCTAACTTCTTATCAAACAGGGCAAAATATTCTTGGTACTAAGGACTGCTAAGGAAATGAAAACTTGTCTAACAGTATGTATTTGCTGTAGGGAACTGCTAGTGTTGCCCTATTGCAGATGAGGAAGGAAAGGACAGAGAAGTCCTGCAGAAAAGTTCTCATTACAATGAAGTTTTAATTATCAAGAAGACTGCAAACCCTTCACCTATAATAGAATAGAAGCAAAAGCACAAACCAGGCAAAACTGAGTTCTTAACAAAATAGGCTTAAATATCCAGTTCCACTGAGCTCTCATTGTATCTTTTCATTAGTATATACTACCTTTTTAACTTACCTCTATAAAGCCCAAAGAAACCTTCATAACGTAGCACTTTCTTGAAGCAATCAAAGCTGTTTTTATACATAAGTTCTCCCACAAAAGAACCTGTAGAGCGCTGGTTTTGCATTCGAGTTTTTACCAAATCAATTGGGTAGACTGCAGTGGCTCCAACAGCTGCAAATCAAAATCAAGCTATAAGAAAACATAATTCTGCATTTGCCACGTTTGACTGCAACTTTCACTTTCCATACCTCAGATATCAGTTGTATCTTTTTTTCTCTGCGATATATTCTGGATACCTTAAACCGCCTCCCATAGTTTTAAACAAAAGCACTTCCTAGCCCTACCTCATTATTAATCTGATTCTTCTGAAACTGGTTGGGTGTCAAAACAGATAGCAACACCACCTGCAAACTCCAATGGCTCGTAAATTCCAACACTCCTGTAGACCAGATGACCCCTTCCTCTTCAATCTTACAGTCATCCCATCCCTTAGACACAGCTTCCACACTTAAATCAAAGGCAGAAGGGGAAGAAGGGCAGAAGAAAAGAAGAAAAAACCCAAACAGTGAGGATGAATATTCCTTTTGCTCAGTCATGACTAACCTCCAGCAACTGAACCAAGGGCAAACCTGTATGCTGATTCTGCAATCTGGATGAGAACAGGTCGAGACGCATCGCCTGGAGCTTTCTGTCAAGGTAGGATTTAAAACAAAAGCAAAGACAAGAAAAATAATCAGAACATCATATTTCACAAAAGAACACCTCATGATCAGGCAGATGTAAGTAGAAAGACACCTGGAGAAAATCCCACAATACACAACACAAAATCAATGGTCCAAATGTGCATCTGAGGGCACACATATTGCATCTTAAGTAATTGATTTTCTACAGCTAAAAACTACTCTAGTTTAGATTTTCTTTCTACTGCCACCAAAACCAGGTATACCTATTACTTCTCAAGTTATCAAAAGAAGTATGCAAGCATGGTTCAAACATATTAGCTAAAGGAAAATAAGGTTTCATACAGCACCCCCACAATTTCATTTTCCTCATATTCTATGAATGCTAGATTTAACCCAATAAAAAATGAATTTCAAAAGTGCTCCAGAATTAGGAAAACAGGAGTTCTGCAGGGGTGTTAAGTCTTCCATACTCACTAACATTTTTTGTAATTTTTTTTTTAGGATACAACACGTAAAAGGACAAAACAAAAATATAGATACATTTTTTCCTGAGAATGTGTTTAGGTTTTTCGCTAGTATTCCAATGTAGCTGGAGTCGGCCAGAAACTAAATTGAAGGTGTCAATGTAGCTGAAAACCTTTTCAGTTTCAGCATCAAGCAGCTGACAATAAAATGGAATTGGATGGAAAGGCAGGACACATATGCAGAAGAAATTGTAAGATTTATGCAGGTTCATATGCCCTAGCCTCTTAAAATGGCACCAATCATAGAAGCAAAGACAGTGGCCCCAAAGCAAAAACTGAAGAAGCTGCTACTTCCATCACTGCATTTTTGGCTACATTTTACTGCCACCTATTGTAGCTTACGTTACTTGATATTCAGTCCAATGTAAATGCTTTTAACTCCTTTAGGAGTCTTCTAGGAATAGATGGCGAGCTTTTGGGAGCCAACTCATTCGAATTCATCCCAGCATAGTCAACATTTAGTCACTGCTCAAACAAACAGAAAACCGCCACCCTAGATACTGTCCTGGAGTGGTGGCGGGGGTGTTCACATGTAGGGGAGAGAGGAGAAGAAGAAAGAGAAGCAAAAGAGGCGCATGTGTACACACACACACAGAGGCCTGGCTTATGGCCTGGTAGTCCTAAAAATGTAGTCTGCATCAACTCATTGTGGTCAAACTGGCGTCTCCACACAGACCCAGAGCAGGAAAAAAAAAACCCAACAAAAAAATCCTTAGTCTCACAAGACAAAGTTAAGACTGCCTTAAAATAGAGACAGAGAAAGAGAAATACAGGGCTAGTATTAAATCTATCTGTACAGGAACTTGTGTCAATGAAAATATAAGATATGCTAAAATAATACCAAAACTAAAAGATCAACAGGTTTGACCTTTAAAGAACACTCCTAGTTCTTTTTGCCTCAAACACAAAGGAAGTTAATTTGCTGTTATACCATCACAGTCAATATCCTTTAGTTTTCTGGAAATGCAGAGGATATTAATGCTTTTACTGTAACTGTGATGGTAGATTAAACATTATCTCTCCTATTGTGATATTCAGCAGAGCATAACGCAAAGTAGAGAATACTCTGAAGCCAGGAACATGTATGTGTGTTCAGAACAAGGGCTGCCATTCAATAGGCTAGATGCTGAATTTACCATCCATATTCAAAGCAGGAAGTCTTCTTTCCTCATTAAAAAGAACTGAGAGCAACAGAATCACAAAACATAAACACCTTAATTACGTATACACCCAATATTTACTGAATGGCTGGATGACACTCATATATTTTACCTTTCCAAATTACATTTAACTTGTCAATATGCAGCCCAAGAGAAAGGGGCACAGAGAAGACATGGAGAGGACATGACACAGGTTATAAATAATTTCTAACACGAAGGTATTTGTCATAGACATTACAAAACACAAGAGAAAAGTGACTTAGCTGACATCACAGAAGGAGGTTGGCTATCTTATTTACCTGGCAGTAGGAACAGATAGTATTATCATACTGGCTTATGTTCTTACCTGCCTCTGAGCCTCAGCCAGGTTGTAGGGCAATGTCCCCTCCTCCAGAGGAGCAATTCTTTCAATATCAGCTAACGTCATGCGCCTGAGGAAATTAATTCAGCTTAGTGTTTGCTTAGAGATGGGTTTTTAGATCACAAGAAGTTACCTGCACGTGACCACCTCACTACACTCTCCTGTTCCCCAATATCACCTCCCATTCCTTCCAAGACAGAGAGAGGAGGAAAATAAAGAAAGAAGGATAGATATTTCTCCACTTACCCCCGTGGCTCATACAGATCTGCTAACTGAAACAAGATGTCAACTTCCATTGGTGTAACCTGACCAAATTTCTGAGCTGCCAGAACAAACTCCTCTGCAACAGAATAAAAATACAGAAAGGAAAACCTAATCAAAGCAGAACAAGTAATCCAGAGCACCCCAGAGTTGCTTTGTATTTTAGCATTAAGTAAAAGATGCTGGTGGGAGCAAGAGAAGGGGGAAAAAAGTGACTCACCACAAAAGCGTTCCTGCCACTACATAAATGTATGTTTTACATGGTATATCCTTCATGCAAATAAGTACAACTCTCTGGTCTTAAAGCTTAGTGCTATCAGCAGGATTTAGGATATTTGACATACGGTATCAATCAGTTGTGGGTCAGAAGGAAAAAAGAAATAAAAGGCAAACTGAAAAAAACCCAGGAGTGGAACTTTTCATGTGTAGTCCCAGTAGGCCACATTAATGAAACCTTGGCATTGCACAGGGAATTCTCTATAAAAGTGGTTAGATACAGCAGATAACATCTTGTTCCAAGCTTGTAGATCAGCTTACTGTGCCGCCAATACAAGTTTATGGAATTCTTCAACTACCCTTGAAGGTCACTTTAATAGGCTGCCAATTTGGCAGGAGTCCTAGGAAGTTTTTTAAACTTTTAAGTATCTTTACATACTTTCATCACCCTGCCCCCACTGCTAGTTTACTAGGACCTTTTTCTGATTGAACCAAAATGAAAAACCTGGAGGGTGGACTCCAACAGGAGTGTATGAAATTGAGTGGTGTACCAAGGAATGCTAACGAGGCAGGCTGTCCCCGCTCACATTGATTTAAAAGCATACAGACGAGGTCTTCCCCTCCACCCACTACAACCAAACACCCAGGGAAACTTCCAGACTGCAAACATTTCTACCCACCCTTAGTGACTTCCACATCTTTTCTGTTTCCAGCCAGAGTACTGTAGATCTTTCTAATGAGCTCCATGTTGTTAAGGAGAGAATTAAATCCATTAAAATAGGAAAAGCTGACCTGATGAGAAGTGGTACCTCCAGCAGCCTAGAGTAGAGACAGTAAAAGAAGAAAAGAGAAAGAAGGGTGTTACAAGACTAAGAAAAACCTTGAAATAAAGGTTTTTAAACAATGTTATTTTACAAGAGCAACAGTAGCACAGTGTTTTTAAAAAAAAAAAACAATTGCAAAATAAAGAAAACTATGAAAAGATTCTTATGTTACTGAAACTAATCATGACCAGAATGTAAAGCTCTTCCCACCCTACAAACCTAAACAAATACATGTGCAGGATTATAACAACATAACCAGTAGTAATTTACAGAGTTCAAGTTTCAGTACTGCTTCAGTTGGAAATGTTTCATAAGTTGGCTTATTTCTAGTAATAGGGAAATCTACTTCTACATGTAAAGTATATTACTGTACAGAAAATTTCAACAAAATCAAAACATATTCTGAAAAAGATCAGCTGAAACATTTAAATTCACAGGCATATCAAGTCATGGAAAACCAGCAGTAAGCTCTCAGGCTTATATCAGGCATTCAAACAAAATGGGAACAAAAGGCTCAAACAGCTACTCATTCTCAAATGAGAACTGAGCCTAAACCTCTATTTTAAAGTGGTGTTGGGTCTGCACACAGAAAAAATTTTTGATCAATTCCCTATTTAATATCAGTTTAAGATTGGTGATCAAGCAAATTTCTGAAAACAATGCAAAAGCTTACCAAAATTTAATTTACCTTGAGGAAGAAACAAAAATCTTATGTTTTATGAGAGAGTATATGACCCAAGAAAACTGACAATACTAGGGAGAGATCAAGGAAGGAAGTATGAAAAATCATAGTCAGTCCCTAGGTCTATGCTTTTCTGCTGTATGCTTCTTCCAATATTCTGCCCAGAGTTTGCACTTCTCATTACTTCACACATCTTCCTGGAATTCTGCCTTGCAAGTCAAAGCAGAGTAAATTTCTTTAAACCTGGATATGTCCAGACTTTGGATTACCTGGAAAGAGCTTCTACAAGTTCCCAATATTAGAAACTGAGGTCAAAACCAAATGTATCTTTTTTTTGTTTTAAGTGAAACTGCAGAATTGTAATATTTAATTTGGTTTATGCATTTCAAGCTGGAAAAAAGTGTACACTCAAGTGTAACAACTATCAATCAATATATAGTGGATATCCTTGGGTGATGTTGCAGTTCATACACTGTCCCAGGTGCTTGGAAATTACACACAGGAGCTTAGAATTGACATTACAAAAAAAGTCCTTTGAGGATTACTTCGTAAGTGGGACACAAGGACGTTTTGACATATTTGACACATTTTACTATAATGGAATGACCAGAAATAGTCAAGCAAACTCTGCATTTGTAGGCCATTACCTGCTTTGTCTTTTGTCAGGAAACCAGAACACTCTGCAATAAGGGCTAACTTTCATATGTGTAGATAATAACTGCTAGACTTAAAAACATGCATCTGTAAGCTGGACTACGTGCCACATTTAGCGGTCAAGGTACATAAAAAAGGAATCCCACATCTGTATCCCAGCTCTTTGCTGGCTGGGATACCATAGCTACTCACAGCTACTAGACATTCTTCTACAAACGGTGTCAGCATGTGTGGCCGGATAGTGACCATAATGTCCCTGAAGTCCATAGCTGTGACTCTTCCGGCCTGAGCATTGTCACGCTGCACAAAAGCTTGTTTTGCATGTTCTAACTGTATTTCCTGAAAACATATGGGGGGAAAAAAGTCAGGTTTAAAATCATCACCTTAATAGTTAGACTTCATCTAATGCAATCCTACAAGAGATCTCATACTTAACACGATTACATGTAATCCAGTTTTGATGGGATATTGTAAGAGTAACTTTCAGCCTTTCTACTGATGGCATATATGGTCTCTGTCATTGAGCTCAATATCTAGGACAACCATCATGATTTCTCTGCTGTCTCTGACCATTAGGTCATGCAATTCATTTAAATGAAAAATGGAGGGCACATATCAACACACCGCTGCAGGTAATCTCCCACTCATGAACATTAAAGTGTTTCATGATGTGCATTATCCAGTTTATTGCATGTGTCACAGCAGGTCAAAATACTTTCTGTAAAAGCATTTGCTACTTTTTGAATGAGGACAATGCAGTCATTGGAGATTTCCACACAGACACCCACTAATCTTGAAAGCATTCCCTCAAAAAGCATCTGCATTTAAGACATAAAGTTATTTGTCTACAACAGACACCAGCAGTTTAATTTAGAACTCTTTGTATCGCAACTGATTGAAGATCACTTCTCAATATTTCAGCAGTAGTAACAGGCAGAGATCAATCACAAGCATTATCTGATGCAACCACCAGATAATCTCATTTTGTGATTCAAATGTACCCCTGAGAGCAGATGGAAGAAAAAAGGCATTTAGTCTCTCAAAACTGTGTCTTTTCCTACTGTGACCTTCATCCTTTCTTTATAAATTACTGTTCGGCTACTTCCTTGGGTTTTTTTATTTTTCATTTAAACTGAACAATCCTGCACAGATAGTAACTTGGTAATATATATGAACTTCTTGTTCAGTTCTGCAGGTTTGCCAAAACCAGAAATACCTTTTGGTGATGCAGTTAGAGTTCCCAATCTATATTTATCTGCTGAATGGAGGAAAACAAATCATTGTCATGTCCTCCCTTCAAATTTCAAGGCTTATAAAAACTTCTTCACTGGAAATACAGTGCTTAGTCTGAATGCATATTCATAATCAGGTACTCAGAAAATGGAACTGGAGCAAAAGTATGTCAGCAATACTAAGCAAGACTTGCAGTGGACCGTAACACTATCCTATTATTTCCATTATATCTGCAGATATAATGGAATCTTTTATCTGCCTTAAAAGTCGTATTAAGGCAAGACTCAGGCTAGCCACGAATCATGAGCACAATGTATTAATGACAAATACGATCTCCTGTAAATCAATATTTATCTCACAGCAGCATTCAAGGGAATAGAGAGTGAAGGGTGAAAGGCAAATTCAGCTGGCATAGGATCAGACCTGCCAGAGGCCTGCAGCCCCCATCCCTCCTTCTGCTCATTCAGCTCACGCCACGGCCACTGATGCACGCTGCCATTCAAACCATGCTTGTCTTCTCATTTCAGCCTCCTGACCTCTCCAATTTTAGTCTTAATTTCTAATTAAAACACCTGACCTGAAAGGTATGATGAAAACCTCCTAATATATTAGGCAGAAGGAGGAAGGGGGGGGTGAGGACTGATCAGTGTTTGAACACTGAATTTCACTCACAGGATTATCCAGAAATTTCTGCTTTTAATGAGAAACAATTGTGGGGATTATAATTTAAAATGTTACAATTTCAGTTCTGTCACATTTCCTTTACATTACAGCTCCCTGTGTGGAGGTGTTACAATTTAGCAATAATATTCACTCTTGCTGGATGCAGCCATGGAAGCTCTTGCTTCACTCTAAGTGTGACTACAATTTCAAGAGAAATTTGGAAGCAAGCAATTTTGGGAGGTTTACGGTGGGAGGGGCACAAGAACACAAAAAAAACCCAAAACCTCATCAGCTTGAGGCAGGCAGGTACTTGGGAGGCTGAGCACTCTGGAGTTAGGTATAGTAACTCCTGTATCCCTAAATACTCACCACCAGGCAGGTAGAAACCTATGAACAAATGAACAAAAAAGTCTGTCTTTTAAGTGGCAGCATCACCAAAGAAAAAATACATTTAATTTAGCAGAAGAATTACATGGGAAAGTGAATGTTGCTTTCTTTTCCTTCTCTCATTCCCAGTGAAATTGCTGGCAGTGTTGTGCTGGCAGAATCCAGAAGTAAAATGTAGTAAAAATCCCTAGAGATCACTTGCAGAAGTCCAAGCTGCTACCATCTACGTACACCCATCAGTGAGTTTGGAGGTATACATACCAGTAGGTGAGACCTTGGCTAAGAATGACACCTCAGCCACAGAAGCAAAGCAGGGCTCATGTTCCAGAGAGATACATTAAGTGCATGTTTCTTGTCATCACCTAGCTAACTGCAAAATGGCTATTAGCACTACAGTCAACTACAAGCCAAAACACCCCAAAACACTGGTTTACATGATCCCTTTCAATCTTCTCAGTACATGTGGAACTCACTAGAGAGAATTACCCAACTTGGTTACACACATGGTCAAGGACTCAGAGCTGCCATTTGCCCATGTTCCTGTCAGCTGGGAAAGAGCCGCTCAGCTGAGGATAGGCAGCAAGAAAAAACTCTGAATGGGAAGATGTCAGTTTTCTGGAGCTCCCTATTCATACCTCCTCCTTAGTTCAGAAATGAAATGGTTTAAGCATGCTGCAAAAAGATAGAGAAGACTCATCCCACTTTCTCAGAAAGGTAGGGTCTTTTCAGGCTACGGTTATTTTGAGCTGTGCTTCGCATTTTCTAGTTGCGCAGAGCAAAAAAAAAAAGCACAGAGGCCTTCAGCCACGTGGCATTCCCAAACCATGGCCATGGCAGCAACATAGCATACAAGAACATGCAGATCGTTACACAGTAACACACTTAGTCTCAAAATTAAATTTTACCTTTGAAGTCTGTCACAAAAAAACCCTGACAGATGTCACTTCTCTAACCACTGGATGTTGCATAACAATGTAACAAACTCCTTAGAGTGTTTAACTCAAAAGAAAGGCTACCTATTCCCTCAGTCTCCAAGTCTGAAGGTTGAGACACCTCACAGCATGACTAAACGCGTTTCAAAAGGAGGCTCAGTAGCTACTAGCAATTCATCAGAGACATCTTTATGAGATGATCGTAACATCATCTATGCCGTGTACATGCAGCTAATATAAAAAATACAACCTTAAAAACACCTGAAAAACAATAAAGCAAAGTTTTTGTGTTTAGAGATGCTATCTGACTTGCAGTAATTTTTATTTTGGTTCAATGTTGTTCACCTAGACAGATTAAGGTTTAAAGAAATACAATCCTCATTGCTTTGCAATACAAATTACACATCCTAAAGAAGCTTCTCCAACTAGACTTTCTCTAAACTTAGGTATACTTAGAGAACAAGCTTCTCCCTTGATGCTGGAAGTCCAGAATTCCCCCAGGTAGTATAAGACTTTGTGAAAAATTAATTTGCACATCATGCTGGCATGCTGGCACCAGAATTTTCATGAAACTATTTCCTATCCAGAGATTTTACCTCAGGTTTCACTTCCAGTTCATTAAAAGCTTCATTACTTTCCAGTTAGATAGAAATTTATGTCTGGGTTCCATCCCAATGGATCTACAAGTCATCAGATACAGCACAGTCTTTTCCACTGGAGCAGATCCTGGGGTTCAATTACAGAGAATACTACTTCATCAACTAATGCGCTGGGCACAAATAAATTCCTAGACAACGTGGAAATGGATTTACCAGGCCCACATATAAGCATATGTTAAAATTCATCCCGTGGAATAGATTTTACAGGCTGAGAAAGGAGCCAATGTTGCTTTTCATGAAGCAGGATTGCCACATAAGTGATGAAGGAACATGACCATATCCAAACAGATATAGATGTGACAGATACGTAGTGGAGCTATACGAGTTAATTTTATGCTAGAAAAATTAGAAGCAGGGTAAAACAACACACCTCAAGCTCTGTGTTGATGCAAAAAGACTGTTAACTGCATTAGAGCCAAATAGTTTGGAGGCTATACTTTTGGGCATCTCTGTTACTGTAGACAAAAAAATGTGCTAGCAGGATATAAATATTCAGAATCCCATATAAACTCTCCTTATTTAAAGCCAGAAAAGATCCATCTTGTGCACGTATAAAACATACTAATGTTATTTTCCATGTACCTTCAGCCTTGCCAGAAGTGATGATTAGCCCAAATCCTGTGACAGATAATGAATGTGTAACAACTCTACATGGCATAATAGAACCCAACTTGAATGAATTTGAATCTACTTGGATTATTTCATTAAAAGTTGCAAATGGCACTGTACTTACAAAGCAGTACCTGAAGTGCCTTACAGAACCATCTGGTCCATGTTAAGTGCAATGTAAAGTGCATTCACATGTCAGGAATGCAGAAAGGTAATTTGGTATCCACTGTGGTCTCCTGCTGTCTAAGGTCCAAGGTCCAGACATCAGACCAAGGAGACCAACTCATGCACAGGCAGAATGTCAGAAGGAGAAGCTGAGTACCAGAGGTTACAGAGCCCAAACGAAGATCTCTATGCTCGCGCATACCAACTCTCCAATTTGTGCGGAGAGAAATTTCTGTGCCCAGATTTCAGTATCTATAATACAATGCTGCAAGGCAAGAGTCAGCAAGGAAACTTAAGTGTTTCAAAGATTTAGAGTTCTAAGAAGAGGGTAAACAGATGTACCTAATTACTGTGAGTGACTGAGCATCCTAACAGACTGTACTGATAGTGGGCAACTCCAGCAAAGCAGCATTAATTTATCTGAAAGTCCCTGCTGCCTGCACCAATGCTGAGAGTCTTTATTAGCAGCCTTGGAACTTTTCCTGAATACATCTCTAGAAGACATCCAAAATGGCCATCCTAGTTCTCCAAGTTTGTGCTCTTCCTCCCTCTTTCTGTCCTGTATGCATCATCACCAAGATGGCCGTCTGGCTCGTGAGCACCACTGACATGTTCCAACACAACCTTCTACTCTATACTGCAACTAGCTGAGATTCACTTTTGAGAAGAGCTGGTTAGAAACCAAACAAATAACAAATGAGACAGGGGCAAGGCACACCAAAACCAAATACAATTCTCTTCAGAATATGATTACATCTAATTAAAGTCCTTTTAGACAAGGAAAGAGGAATACCCCTCCATGGGATGAGAAAGCCTACTAGTTAGGAGTCTTCTCCAAAGTTAGAAAACTACTGTCTCAGCTCCTGCTTTTCCTAATCCAAAGAAAAAACATGAAAGGACCCAAAGACACAAAGAACAAACTCAAATTTTCCAAATACCCAGCCATGAGGTTACAGGCTCTTTCGGGCATGTGGCTCCAACCTCCCTCACTGCTACTAATTTTTTTTTTTTTTTTTTTTTTTTTTACAAAAAAGTGCCCTTTTTCCACTATGGGTTTTTCTTCAGGTTTTCCTCATATCTCTAAACAAACAGATGCATGAGGCAAACAGGACTGGTACTCTGTTAAGACTGTGATTTTAATCTATCAAACTCCGGATACATATCCAGGGCTTATTCTGTAGTTTGGAAAGAAGTACTAGAACACCAGAACATGTGGCCAGTGGCATTTTTTCCAAATCAAGTAACACATTAGCTTTTTTATCCAAAAGAGGTTCTAGTTCACTATTCTGCCACAAAAGTGGACTATGTCTTAGCCACTTAGGAGTTGCAATAGTAAATACAAAACCTAAGGGAATAGGATTTAATCATGTGATACCTGACGTCCCCTTCACACAAAGTTAATTAGGCTCTGTTCTACAAAGTCAATTTGAAACATTTGTCTCAATAGCATTATCTTAATTATTCCTCATCAAAATGATACCACCTCCTACTGTGAACTAACATACTTGTGTAAACAAGAAAAAAAAGAAACCTTGCAGTCTTGAAGCAGGTTCCCATTTTAAAACTCTCTAGTGTAAATACTAATACAAGCATTAAGTATTCAGAAGGAATACAAATAAGAAACTCACGTGTTTCAGCACTTCAAGGATCACTTTTCCTACTGAAGACTATTTTAACAGTGTTGCTGAAATACAGATAATCTGTTTAATTTTTTATTAGCACAATATTTTATTTTCTGCAGCAAGATACCCCAAAGTACGAATAGCCAAGATTTCCTTGCAAAAGACAGACAGTATTTTATTCTCTGCATACCAGAAGCAAAGCTAAGTAGCACTTCCCTATCTGAGATACTCTTAATTCAAAAAAAGTCAAAAGTAAAGAAGTGTGTGGAAAGGGCTTGCAATGAAACATCTTTATTGGATGTCAGCACTGAATTGAATACAAGTTTGGTAAACATGCTGTTTACAGACAGAAGGACTTCTTAATACTAGTCTGGCAACTGGCGTCTGTTCAACGCTGTTATTTAACATTCTTTCACTCATGGATGAGATTTCCAGACTTTGAGGTCCAGGTTTTTAATTTCACGTCTCTGTGTAGAGATCAGTGTAAAAAAGACCACTTTCGGCACACAAGTGCCGAAAAGAGAAGACACAGCTAGTCTTATTATTATTATTATTAGCAATTTTACCAAAAGCATATCCTATTTATCTACACACTAATAAAGTCCAGCACTCTGTAAAAGCCTACACTTGATCTATTTTTCAATTTTCCTATCAGTGTGGTATTTAGAAAGTTTGCAATTACTTTGATTCTAGTATTCTTCTTAATTCTCTTGACAAACTGTATTGTATTAGACCCACCAGTAAAAACTGGGTGAACTCTGCGTATGCTAGGTGTCTTTTTCTATCCTTTCCAAAATGCAGCTGTACGAACTCTGAATTCCAGTTAAATGGAATGTGCTGATGAATCGTGGTCTGGCCAAAAACTTGCTTAGCGTCCTCTGGGAAGAAAAGAAAAAAGTTCATTTATTAATAAAATAACATAACAATAGAGACAGGCATATAATTATACAAGCGAAACATATATTTTCTAACAGGAAAGCAGCAATACTATTCATACAAATTAGTAACACATTGTAAAGCAAACCTAACTTTTTGTTTACCAAAACTGTAATAAAGTTTTGAACACCCTCACAAATACAGTTTCTGAATACTCTTTTTATTCGTGAAGTTTTGTACTCACAGCATTTAAATACAAGAGACTCAACTATATATTTCAAGTTTCAAAGTCAAGCAAGAAAAGATTAAAATTAAAAGACAATTTACAAAAAGATTACTAAAGCTAACCAATTTTCAGCATAATCTTTTCAAGCTGCTAACAATGAAAGTTTTGTGTCACTGTAATTCAGGCTTTTGTATTATTCCCAGACTTCTCCACATTCAAACAAATCAACTACAAAAATACCAGTATTTCAAGATCCACTTCTCTGTAGTTACCTCACAGAAGCAGTGATGTGCAGGGCAGGAGATGGAGGGGGACATGGCAGACAGGAACTCATCACCACCTCCAGCTCTAAACAAACTTTAACCCTAGACCTCTGCTACAAGGGGTGGGGGGCGGGGGGAGGCAGTGAGACAAGTTTGATCACACCTAAATGCCAACTTCATAGTTTAGTTCAGTTTAGTAGTCATCACTGGGCAATGGTTTATTATGGGCTTGGCAGACTTTTTGGTAATACAGAGCATTTTTTGTGAAGAAACAACTATTTGAAACACACCAAGTTGGACCATATGCTGCTGGACAATACATATTTTAACTAATGGAAACACCAACAAAAAATCTGAGGAAGTACTTGTCTCACACAACAGCACCCACTTCAATGTGATAGTCTGTCTCGGCCAAAAATATAGGGCAAAGATTTCTTCAGAAGACAAGCTCAAGGCCAGAGGTTCCCAACTGCTCTACACCTTCCTAATTGCCGTAGGACTCCTTCAGCAACGCCAGCCGAGAGTCAGTTCTTGTCTCCTGCTAGTTCCTGCAGGCATGGAGAGCTGGTTCCCAGGAAACGCTCCCGACCCACAGGCAGGGCCAGGAGCTGGTCTCCTGCTCCCTGCATGCTTCGTGGAAGAAAGACCAGGAGCCCAAACCCAGAGCTTCTGGAATCCAGTTCTCAAGCATGGCTGGTGCCTGAGGGCGAGGAAATCAGCACAGCTTTGTGCCTGCCTGTGTGCAGAACAAGCTGGGAGCCACCTCGCTGGAGCCAGCCTCTGCCTACTAGCAGGTCTGGGAGCCGTCTTCCAGCTCACCCCAGTGCCACAAGCAAAGGTGGGAGCAGACTCCTTGGAGCCGTGAGGTCCTGTCTCCTGTGTAGACTGAGTTCTGGCTTGGGGTTCAGCCATGGCCTGGGGAAACCCAGCCAGGGCAAAATTCCCACTTTCAGGCAAGGAAGCACGAAAAGGAGAGAGTGGGGTGGGTCGGTCGAGAGCCACAAGGATATCAGGAAGTGCCCAAGTGAATGAAGGACAAACATAGGAAAAAACAGTCCCGGGGACATGAAAGGGACATATATCCTGCCACATAGACCCAAAGCACTGCAGTTGGTGTCACCCACAAGGACAGCTTGTTCTAAAGCATGGAGGCTGTTCATATGCTGGGATTCACAGGGAGAGTAGAGATGTTACTGTGAACTTCTTCACATAACCTCAGCACAGTCAGTAGTTTCATCTTTAAAAACACACCACCCACTGATTCCAGGGAATCAGTGGTGAAGGAGCAAGTTGGATTTAACTCACGAACTGAAAGACTGACCCCAGTTAACCTCAAATTCTTAAAATTGAGAACTTCAAGCCCTAATGTCCTATGAGAATTTTCTCCAAGCAGCATCAGACTGCCCCCAGCACAGCATTGTTCATTCATGTCTTCAAGCTTCATCACAGTCAGCATGGATCTGGTCCGCCAGCATTCTCCAGGAGCAAAATTCTGCTCTCAGGGCAACAGGAGGGAAAGGCAATCAGTTCAGGGCGAGGTTCTGTCCTTCTACTGAATGTCTTTTATTTAGGATGCTTCCTACTGACACAGCTTGAGGCATCCTGCCACATGTCACTGGAGATCACCTCTATAAAGTTCCTGCTTTCTGTCAGACTTCCTTCCTCAACCCTTTGAGAGGGGAATCAGCATGAAGACAGACTGTGCTGTCCACAAACAAGAGGAACTGAAGGCTGTCTCTTCCTGGTAGTAACCATTTTGCTTTTCCAGAGGAATGAAGATATTCCCAGAACAGCTCTGACATCTGTCTCTTGCACTGAAATCAGATTCTCATCTGCTTCCTCTTTCTCACCCATCTCATCTCCTGAATTTCCCCAGATCAAGACACTGATACTGTTTGGATGACATTAGGAACAAGTCACTCTACCAAAAGCTATGTTTGGTTAGACTCCAGACTTGGCTTTGCCAGAGAAAAAAAGGTGCTCTCTTACTTGATGTAAGAGATAGGAAAATCTTAGCTAGTAGAAAAGCAGTCTCAAAGTCCTTTTGATGGGGACAGGCTCTTCACAATCTTTACTTCAACTTGTTAACATATGAAAGTTACAGAGTGTCCTCTGATTATGTCACTGTAATTTCAATTATTTATCATACATTACCTATCTTGAAGGGACAATCCATCTTGCTCCTCAAACTCTGTGCCTTAAAACCCTCCTTAGTTGTGGGCCAAAATTGCCGCTCAAGAAAATCAAACATCAAGAAGTGAAAAGAACGGTAATTTCAGACTAGATACAATGTTTAATTATTGGCATTACCAACGGCAATGGAACTCAAAACCTCATCAAGCCAGCTACAAATACAGTTAAGTATATATCCAGGGCATTTGCATTCCCTTGCCTATTTTAGAGATTAAAGGCTACATGAACGCCTCAGAAGTTCATATAAGTACAAATATCCTTCTGAACAGTATGAGCAGGAGATGTACACTTAATTTTTGCTATTACTTGGAAAACACAGACTACCACATTAGTGTGGGTATTTAGTACAACAGCAAGAGAACTCCCTGCACTACTTGATCTTTTCAAAATCATATCGCATATTGATGTCAGTATGTCTTAGCAAGTAATACCATGTGCTTTTCTGACAGAGTGCATTTTGGATTACACAGCACAGGTAGCTGGCTGGAAGATCATCTACTGTACTTCTGCCCATTCTTTCATGGCAGAACACACAAGTGTCCTGTTTGCCACTGCGTTTTTACACACACCCTGTGCTTCCTTTTCTCAACTATTTATGGTTCACAAACCCCTACATATACACAGTGGACAGTTTTTCCTCTTTCCTTGCTGGTCTCATCATCCATTCATCTACAACACTGTCATTGACTCAAGTCTTGTCTGTAGTCAGATTGTCCAACTCAGACATTAAAGACCATTCATTCTCCATGAAAAAAATCTTAAGTGTTTTACCCAGTGACTTAACCATCAAAACATAGCCAATTACATACTACAACTCACTCCAAGTTATTGTTCAGGTCTATCAGTACCATCTCCTAATCCTCTAAGTCCAGTGTTCAAATAAAAAATGGACAATTTTAAAATGCAGTGTCCCCTTAAGTGTCCCACCTGTCCTACAGGTGAACTTCAATGGCAATCCACAAGTTGCTGAACTACACACAGTAAAGAGCAGCAACGTCTTTCAGTAGTCAGAAGTTATTTTGTTTGTTTAGACTTTTTTTTAAAGGAACCTGTTTTGCAGAGTCACAGAAAAATTTGTGATGGAAAGGACATCTCGATGTCATCTGGTACAGGCTCCTGTCAAAGCAGGTCCAACCAGTTCAGGTTGCTCAGGTCCATGTCCAGCTGAGGTTTGAGTATCTCTAAAGATGAAGATTTCACAACTGCTCTGGGCAACTGTGGTTTGATCCTAAACCAGCATTTAATAAAAATATCTGATAAACTGAAGTTTTACATCCATATTACAACAAAGTTTATTTGTTTTAGCTTTAAAAAGACATCATGTCAATACTCCACTGTCTGGAGTTGTAAGAGCAGGAGATCTAAAGCTCACAAAAGATACAACCATTTCTGTGTGTGTACTGTTCAAATCAGAGCTGCTGGAATGCAAAACTAACAACAGGTTGAATAATATTTTAAATATTCATTCTTAGAAATCCATGCTGTCATTTGTGTCAATCTTTAAAGAAACTAAACTTTGAAACTCAATTTTAAAATGAACTGCAAAGTTCTATAATAAATAATTGTTGTTCCCCATGCTGCCTCTAATTAAAGAGCAGATACTTTGTCACTGTTTCTGATCACTGTAAAAAAACAGATGTTCTGTTTTCCCTCCAGGTGAACTGCCTGCTGGTTTACAGTGGGGTTTTTTTGTCCTTTAGGTCCTGGGAACTTTCTTCTTTCCAGTGTACTGATGTCTATGCTTAAATACTTACTGTACAAGCAAGTACACAGTATTCACATTTTCATACTGTGATTAAGAATTAGAACTAGAACTAAAGAGTGCTTTAAAATAACCACAGACTCTCATAACACAATAAAGACTACTGGATTCCTCAAGTGAAAATTATCTATTAGGAAATCTGAAATTTTAAAATAAGTAAACTGAATGTCATTCTCCCACTATATTTTACTCTTAAGAAAAGAACTCAGAAATCCTCAGCTCCTTCTATGCACCAGTCAAGTTTACTGGGAGAACCAGTTGCACATGTCATCTAGCTACTTGACAGAACAAGCTACTAAAATCCTTATAGGCTACAGGACATAAATAGCTGTCGTGTGAAATCTGAAATTCTTTCAAACTATTTATTCGCGTAAGTACCTAAATGTTTCATGCAGTGTTTTCGTTCGGTCCAATGAAGTTAATGCTGTCTCAAGGCACAGCTATAAAAAATTTCATTATCATCTACAAAAATCCCACTCCCCTTACAATATACCTGCAACATTTCTGTAGAAAAGCTATCACAAATTGCTTTATTTTATATAAGTTATATGCTATATA